TGCGTGCGAGAGTGGCGTCGCGACGCCGGGCGTCGGCGTGTATCTCGCACGCGCCGTGCCTTCGCGTCGTGCGCCGAAAACAATGGCGTCGTCGGGGTTCTCCGATCCAACGGGGAGCACGGAACACCGCCCACGGCAAGCGCCGCCCCCGTTAGAACGTTCAGCAAGAGCGATCGTGGCGAGACCGGGAAGCGAAGCCTCTTGAGGGCGCCGCGCGGAGTTGAACGAAGTTGCGCGATGCCGCGCCGACTCGGCGAGCGCGGAGCGCGGCACAATTGCGGTTTATCCCCACCGTGGAGAATCGGCGAGCGCGACGGGCCACCGCCACGCCATCGCCGGCCTGGCTCCACCCAGATAGACACTATGCCGCACTGGTCCTGGCCGAGAAGCCTCGTCAGGGGCAACGTTACCCGGAGGCAAGGCAACTGCCTGGTCGACTCGGTTCGCTCACTCGACTCACTCGGCTCGCGCAGGACGAAGGAGTGAGGGAGAGAGAGAACGGGGGGAGAAAAGAATGAGGAACGGAGACGGCGAGAGGCGCGGCAGGAGAGAGAGAGAGAGAGAGAGAGAGAGAGAGAGAGAGAGAGAGAGAGAGAGAGAGCAGGGCGAGCAGGGACACGACACCGACCGAAGGGAGATGGTGTATATGATGTAGGGAACGCGCTTAGGGGTGGGGACACCAAAATCGTGCGGCAGGGATCTCCGCATGCGGGAAGGCAGACTCTGGTGGTCAATCGGGCGCCGCGCACCGCAGCAGCGACGCGTCACTGCACCCCTGTTTTGGGAGTCGGGCACGTGCTTCTTTCCTCTCCACCGACGCCGCGCATCGCATCGCATCGGTTCAACTGCATTCCGGTTGCTCCCAAGCAGCTCATCCGCAGCCAGCCAGGCGCGATAAACGCCGATAAACGCCGATAAACCGCGAGAAGCCGCGCATCCACGCCCGTACTCGTACCCGTGCCGGTAGATACACCACCGCCAAGAAGAAGTGTGAAGATAGCTCCTGGATATTCTTGCCTCTTTTCTAACAGCGTGTCTAACGGCGTATTTTGACAACGTCGTTTGCGCGCACGTCGCTCCGACATATAATCTCGCAAGTATTCCGAACGCTGACACGGTCTTGAGAACGTGTCCCGGTCTCGGATCCGTCGACATCAATGGTTTCGCGCTAATTCGAAAGTTGACAACAACGTTAATTGTCAAATAGTGTGGATTCCCTCACGTGGCGAGATTCGATGTACTCTCGTTAAACTGTGCGATTGTAGTGTGTCAGTGAGATCGAGCAGTTGAGTCGCGGCATATTCACTTATTCATCGGCAGCTGATTTCTTCAATTTTCTCACCGGCGAAATTGAGGCGCGTATAAGCTTGCGATCAACGAAAGCCGCGCCAAGAAAAGTGCTGTAAGCGGACGGAACAACGCCATCGAGGATTGCTTTAGTTTCAGCTGGTGGCTGGATCCGGCCTGACCACGGCCATTCTCGACACGGTACGTTGGCATTCAAATTTTGCGTTCAAAAGACGAATCACTCAACGGGACGTCGAACTATAGTTAGAGAGAGTCTTGCTTACATATGTGAATCTATCCTAAACACATGTAAAGCATTAAGAATAGAGTTTCTAGCTCATTTACAACAGTTACCTATTACCAAGTAACTATTTAGCTTAGAGTTTAGAGAGATCTATAAAGTTTCAGTTAATCTTCAGTTATAATTAACCACCGTGTAATTAAAAAACCTTTGAAAAAACCAACAGATTAGGATAGTGCTTATAGTGCGATATTTTCTTAACATACTGTCATTATATTATTACTGTAAAAGATTAGAGAATTGACTCTCGATACTTTCCATTCAAAATATATACATTATTCTTGTTTCTAATGATATTTCTTCTCATTTTTAAAACAATATCATTCAAATAGTTGTCGAATCTCACTCTACTTAATATTTGACAATTGATCAGTGTAAAGCTAAGAATTTCAGAAAAAGAAAAAAAAAAGAGTTAAATCAGTAATCTTAATAATACATGATTTTTTTATACAAAAATAATCAGAGATTTGAATATATTTTCAAGAACATTATGAATTTATTAAATTGCATTGCTAGCATGAAATATAGATATTAATTTTTATTCTATGTATTTTTGTAATATTTTAATGTAATTATTATTTGATTAGATACAAAAAAAAATTTTAATAACGTGTAACACGCAAAAGTGTTTGAAAAATGTTTACTGCAAAATTGTACGTAGATGTTTTATATATTTTCGCAATACGCGATTACATTTAAAGAATTATAAATTTTTATTCAATATTAGATTTTTCATATAAAAATTTTAAATAATATATGATGTAGAAATTTGAATTTTATTTAAGAACATTACGAATTTAATAAATATTTTGTTAATTTAAATCAAAGCACTTCTTTCTAATTTATCAGATTATGAGATGCTTATTTCTAATAAGAGCGGAAATATCTCGTCTAGAACTGATAGAGGAGCAAATTTTTCTTGCGAGAAACCATTTTCTACTATCTATAGAAAACTGTAATAAACTGAAATAGATGTAATAACTTGGACGCGCGCGGCGCAGGGCGACGCGACGCGACGCGACGCGACGCGACGGTTAGCTACAAATTGCTCGTGGCACAATGGCGTTGTTAACGCCCGAGTACCTCATTATGATCGCGAAAAAAGCTGTCGATTACAAGCGGAATGCATCGGGCTTATTTAACGAAAGTGCGCGAAGCATTAACGCGATGCCTTTTATTGCAACTTTGATTTTCTAACGCGCAACAGACATTCTATTCACATTTCAATCTCGTTCTATTTGATTTGTATTTGAAGTCGTATAAAGTTGAGAAGATGATGAAACTTGTGCGATGGCTACATTTTATAGATAGAGTGAAAAAAGATGAAAAAGAAGACTCTCATTGAACTTCTTTTTATTACAATTGTGATTACATTCTACATGTTTATTGTATAAGTAAAATATTCACAAGTTAAATAGATAATAACTATCTTATTTAGAAATAAATTTCATCATTGTAATGTAAAATTTGTGTAAAATTTTAATATTTCTTCTGTTTTCTGCGTAATTATTTCTGGTAATTATTTATTTTCCAATTTCAACGAGATAAAAAATGATAGTTAAAAAAAAAGAAGGAATATGTGTGTATATTGCAACGTTCTTATTATCTCTTTGGTAAGCAGCGTCTGTAAAGGGACATTATGAAAAGAACGCTAAATTACTTTTCATCAAAAATGCTTTTATATAGCTGTAGAAACCGTATTTTACAATGTTTGAACTTTTCTGCATCGTTTCAGCTTGCATGTTTATTCGCGAAGCAGTCGCCTATTATTTTTAGAAGAAGGGAGAAACGAACACGCTTTGCTCATTGAAAGTGATACAATCTCGGAAAATAACAGATGTCTCTTCGAGTGCTTAACAAAGAAAGCGTACCTCGGAGATTTCGTGAAAAGCCCTTTGTCATGCCCGAAGCGCGTTGGCGGTGAAAGGAAAAAAGAACAGGGCGGAGAAAAATCTTAGCCTCAATTATTTACTAATTCTACGACTCTCTTCTTCTTCTTCTTCTTCTTCTCTCTCTCTCTCTCTCTCTCTCTCTCTAAGTTATTCCGTTAAATTGATTCATGTCTGTAAAATAATTAAAATTTATGCGGAAAAAATCAAATTATATTGCTTAACACATTCATAGAAATTGAGCGATGTTATTCATTGAGGCACGATGGAGTGCGTTAGCATTAGAGAATTAAAAACGATTAACTCGCGTATCCGATTCGAATTAGTACGACGTAGTGAGTACGCGCGCTTGCAGTTTACTGCTGGCGTCCTAATTGGCGTAAATTAATGCATCGTGCTTAAACTTCCGCCTTTCGCGCTCGACGAGATGCAGGTCGCCTGTGAGATATTCTGCTTTTGTGTGCCGAGAAGGTAGCGCGCGAGGAGTCGCATCGTTTCAACGAGACGAGGACGCAACTCGCGTTCCTCAGATCCTCGTCGCGTTCTGCACGCCGCCTCGGTTGTTCGGATAGCTTTGAGGCAGTAAATTTCGTTGGTATTTCATTCTACGCTCTGCTACCTGAAAATTCTTAAATGCTCGCGTCAAATAATCTACCGTTTCCATGTCTCCTCGCGCTTTTTATTAATTGAATCATGTGATTACGATTGTAATTACGATTTTCGTTTTTGACAGAGAATATCATCAATACAAAAGAGAGCTAGAAAGAAATTTGTATCGGATCGTTTTATTGAAACGTTTAGAAAAACACAGATTTATTTAAATTATATCTATGTCACAAATGTTCATTAAAGCTTGCGTAAAAGTGTACTTATAGATATAAATTATTCATTATCGTATAAAATACAAGTACAGTTTATGACATATGCTAGAATATATACTAGAATATATACTTTTGCAGATCTATCTGTTTTCATTCTATCGCCAAAGTGACGTAGATCCGCCACCGCGGGGAAACGTTTCTATAAAATCGCAAGTTGCAAGATATAAAGTATTAACGACTAAATTATTTATCCCTCTGCCAGTCGCGCGAAATCGCGTTTTGACAGCGTAGATCCAATCGAGTAGAGATCTCACAACAATATAGTGAGAGAGCGCGAACTCTCTTTCTCTCTCTCTCTCTCTCTCTCTCTCTCTCTCTCTCTCTCTCTCTTGCTATCGCTTGGAGAAGCAGGGTCTCGAGAATGAGTCGCGAAGAGAGTAGGAGACGCGGAATGATCTCGCGGCCGAGAGCACGTTTAACGACCCTCGGCTCGCCGCTTTACAGCTTGCACTTTTCGATCCGGCGCGGCCGGGCGCGCGGGTATTGATGTCCCCCGCTTTGCCGTCGGCCGTCGTGACGTTACCGCGACCGGGCTTGAAAGGAGCTAATGATCTACGAGTCTCGCCGAATGACAATTAACGCTCGTCCCGACGCGCGCCGGCGTGTGATGATTAACCGTGATGAGATGAGGGGCACGCCGGAATGCGCATAGACTCTTGCAGCCCCGGCGCGCACACGTCGGATTTGATTTCTCGATCATCAAGGATCGAGAAGGCGTTACGGCAGGTGTTCGATAGTGCGACGGTGATTAGATGATTTCTCGTCGTATGTCCATTCGATTCCCATGATTTCATTCTGAAAATAACTTTCGCTATTGAATCATTTGCACACGCATGCTAATTATTCCTTTCTTATGGAGGATGTTGTTTAATTATCAGGGAACTTTGATAAATAGAAGATAGATATATGTCAATTGTATATACATATATATATCGTTAGAAACGGTGTTCATTTTTTATGTACATGTATAATTTTCCGTGGATTGCAGTTTTAAAAATAGAATAACCATCGATAAGTATGCATTGTTTCAAAGTCAACATATATTTCAGAACGTAATAATTTTGCACGTTTACTATTTACGAATACAGTGATTTATTGCTACGGAATATGAAATATTGTACAATGTATCAATATCTAAAATTTATTCACGTAATTGTTAAGTCACTTTTGTAACAACATTGCAAATTCAAGGATAAAAATTGCGTTTTTTTTTTTTCGATAAAAGAAATCGAATTGAAATTCAATTCATGAAATTTTCAGACTATAATGATTTTCTAATTACATCGATTTTGTAATAACGTGATGCAGATTTCCCTCTAGTAGCATTTCTTCTGTGTTGTATATATAATTTTCGATTTGTTGTCGCGGTGCGCAAAGTAATACGAACAAATTTATGCGGGATGTAATCAGCCTTGGAAAAATTCGGAAATTTACCGCCGACACGGCAATGTTTATTATTTGCCGGGGCGTTATTTATTTTTTGGCGCACTTTGAAATTTGCTTTTGGCGAACCAGTTTCGACGGCGCCAATATTTACCGCGCTTCGCGGGCGATAATCCCCCGAATTATGTTCTTTGAAGCCGCGTTATTTACGCGCGCGGAAGGCCGTATGCAACGCACCGCACTGCGGAAAGGTATAGGGATCAATTGAATTTTCGTAAATTGCCGTGAATTTATAAAATTATTGTGAAACGTATGTAAAATTATTTCGTTCATTGCGCGCCAGCGTTCGTAAATCGTTAACACCAAGCTCGTTGTTCGCCGCGTCGCGCCGTCGGCTACGCGAGCCGCCCACGCTGTCGTTTGGTCGCGTTTTTTTTCTCGCGTATCGTCAAGTAAAAATTTCGCAATACGATTAAGAACGACGCAAAATTGTAAATCGAAACGTGCTCGCGTCTGTTAATAATCCATGCTCTCGATACGTTACATCGTTACGCCCGAAATTGGTTTTTGATCGCGCTCCGTGCTAAATAATCATCGCGCAGCGATATATTCCCCGCGAGAGTTACGGCATTATCGGCGATATTATCCAGCTCCGATAATACGGTATCCGCGTTATACCATGTTATACGAATTTTAACATGTTTACGATCAACATGTCTTTTTTGTGAAAATAATGGTCGATGTTTTTATTTTTCCAAATATAGTACAGATAGAGAGAAAGAGACAGAGAGAGAGAGAGAGAGAGAGAGAGAGAGAGAGAGAGAGAGAGAGAGAAGGGGGAGGGAGAGAGAGAGAGAGAATATGTTATTTCCTTTTCTCTCAAAGTTTTCTCTTTTGAAAGATATTATTATATTACCATACTGATATATACAATTATAAAGACATTTTAATAGGTACATAGATTGCATTTACTTTTTAAGAAAAGTAAAGTGTAAAAACTTCCTTTGTGAAGAAAGTTATATATATAAAAAGTATAATGAACAGGCTCATTGAAATAAGCACATCGATTATAAGATCCAGCTTTATTTTTATCACGTTAATGACGCAATTGCATCTATTAAAAAATGAATGATACATAGTATTATTTAATCAATATTCTTTCACTTTATACGACATTTCTCTCTTTCTCTTTCCGAACGGATTAGACGCGAAGGCGTCTAATTGAAAAGCGTCAAATCGTCGAGAAGTTGACCGAGCCATTTCGAATGATTTTAGCACTGTGTTAGCGTGGCCGGAGGTGGCGGCGGTGGAGACGGCGGCGGCGGCGGATAAGGTAGCTTACGCGAATCCAAGAACGAATCGGCTAAACGGGCTCTTAAAGGACGGGGTCCATTTGAT